TGCTAGTCAACCGGCGGGAGCAGCGCAGCGGAGAGGTCATCTGTATCGACGACTAGACTACACACACACGTACACACTCACACATACACACACACACTCACACTGAAACCCACCTGCTGCAAAGATATCTTCAATTTCTCTCCAAGAAGTTTTCTAAAACTTAACTCTGCTGACTGGTACTCCCCGAAAAACTACAATCACAGACACATACACTACACATGTGCACTTACTGTCCACGGACACACACATGCACACACACAAATACGCACACACCTGAAGTACAGTCCATATTGTCTCATAACTTCTTGTGACCTTTTCTTGTCTGCCTCAAACCATGATACTCCTCATAAGCGGCCTCTTCACACAGGCCTCCTCCTCCTCCTCCTCCTCTTGGGATGCTTCTAACCTCATCTACACACACACACACACACACACACACACACACACACACACACACACACACACAACGCTCAACCCACCTCAATCCTAGAAACCTTTAGATCTCTCAATAGACCATGTAACCTTCCTCCTCCTCCTCCTCGCCTGGTCTCTAAACTCTCGACAGGAAGCTGCATGTGAAAATCATTTCTACCACCGCACTCCATCCCCTGAAGCATGCTCTAATCACAATAATGCTGTCTCGTGGAAAGGAAAAAAAAAATGGTGTCAAGCTGTGCCTACAGTGGTTTTAATACTGTTTCTAATTCTCCCAGAGAGGCTGAACCTCTTTGTTTCTCAGTCCGAGCAGCTCCAAGCACAGCTCCAGCTTTTTTTTTTCAGCCTATGGTTTTGCTTTTTCTTTCTTTTTCAATGGTACATGTTCAGATAAACACACGCAGCAAGATATGATAATGATAGTTATATTCAGGACTCGTTTGACCATGTTTAGTATTTGCTGCCATCCCATCCCGCTTCCCTGGTTCTAGTTTATGTACAGAGCTTTGAGGATTTTTTTGGGAAAAAGGCCTCGCGACAACGCTATTTTTCAGAAAACCCCCTATGAATGTTTATAACCTTTCATAAGCAAGTCAGTGTTATTAAATGCTATCGATCACCCTGAACACTCCTCTTGACGCCTTCCCTCTCCTCCCTTCCCCTCTTCGTCTTTTTTTTTCCCAAGTTTCTATTTCTTTCTACAAAAATCCTGTGATATACTTTGCATATTTAAACAGCTCATTCGTGTTCTCTTGTGTTTCTACTCTCGCGATTATGAGTATTGTTGTCGTCAATGTTGCTGTTGTTCTCGCTGTTGCTATTTGAGAAAGAGCTTCTACCAAAAGAGACATTTTTTTGTAACTATGGAAGAAAAAAAAACGATACAGTATGTGCGACACACAATGCACCTCTTTGCCATGTTTGTCCTATAACTACAAGAGAACGCAAACGAAGAAGTTGAGCTAACTTCAGAGGTAGATATATTACAAGAAAACTAATTTTTTCTTGCTTACGTTTTAGATTTGGGGCTTGCAAATGACATATGCATATATAGAAAATAGGCCATATGTAACCCTAAATGCTTCTCTGAGCAAAAAAAGAAAATGTATACTCTCTAATCCGAGTAAAAATACACGGTTATCTTTATCTGGAAAATCGGAGGCTGGAAATCCATTTTATATAATGCATCATTAAAAAACGCCTTAATAAACATAGCTGAACAAATGTAAAGTCATCAAACTGAATAAAGAACCTGATGTCAACCTGTAAATCTTAGTCAGAGTCAGATTTAAGTTAAAAATAAAATGATAGCTACTGTAGGAGTTAATTTATCCCATAGTTCCCGGACATTTTGCACCGATCTTCCCAGGAAATAGTCCAGTTTTCAAATTATGTTTCATACAAAGGTTTTGCAACCCCTGAACTAAAACGATGTGTCAAAAACAAGCACTTAGTTCTCTTTTTTTTTCACTTTTACTTTGTCCTCTCTCCAGAGTTTTCTGTTCATTTCTGGGTATCTTGTGTCACTGTGTATGTAGTGGTGCCGATCAAATGATGAGTGGCAGTGAAACATGTCAATAATGACGCATCTCCTTTTTTTTTCTCTTTCTTTATTTTTTTTTTTGTTTGTAATAAAACTGAATGAAATGATAAAAAAAGTACAGTGTGGATTTTTTGAGATGGTGTTTGTATTACACACACACACACACACACACACACACACACACACACACATTGTTTTTAGCCCACTAGTGGTGTGGCTCAAAGGATGGCAGTGTCACTTGGTCATCCATGATGTTCCAGACTGAAATATCTCAGCAACTACTGGATGGATTGATGTAAAATTTTGACATTCATGGTCCCCAGATGATAAATCCCGCCCCTTTCTCCCCATTCCTATCACCCAGCTGTTGCTATCGATTAAAGGTAATAAAAGCCAAATATTTATATGTACATATATATATATATATATATAAATTAAATGTCTCAACAACTTTTGGATGGATTGCGATGAAGATATTCAAATTCCCTTGAGGATAAATTCTAATAACTTTGGCGATCGCCTGACTTTTTGTGTATCGCCATCTCCAGGTCAAAATTTATTTGAAATTGTAATTTGTCCAACACTTTGGTTTACATTCACAGCTGTACTTTGTATTTAATGTTACTTAGCTATTAGTAGCACACTGACATTATACCCGTTAAACAGCAGCATGTCAGCATTGTCTTTGTGCGCACGTTAGTATGCTGACCTTAGCATTTAGCTCAAAGCACTGGCAATGGTAAATGCTGTCAATTATATTATATATTGAATTTTGGGTCTGTGTGTGTGTGTGTAAAACATAGAGTATATCTTCTTAACATTAACCATCCTCAGCTACTATACCCGTCCAAATAGGGCTGTGCTGGTGCCGCAAAACCCCCGGAGTGCAGTGAACTGAACAAGGTTGCATTTTACTGCTTATGAAGGTTGTTGTTACATCTGCCCCTGGGCCATCAGCTTCAACTGCCTGACTACCAGCTCTCCCTGTGTGTCTGTGTGATTGTCTGCGGGTGCAGCTGGAGTGAGGGCAGAACCTCCAGCTGCAGCTCATCTCCATAATGAATCCTCTTCAAATACTCAGCCTTCTCCACGCTGTCGGTCTGCAGATTCAGCTACCACCTCTCCAGGCCCGACTCTGGTCTCTGCTCCTTCCACCTCCCTTTGACCAGTCTGCAAATCTGCCCACTCACTGCTCCTCTCCGGTTACCAGCTCACTCAGATTCCCCCTTGGATCAGCTCATTCTGCCCTGCTCAGCCCTGACACCCCTACTTCAGCTCCACTTCAACTCCTCTCAACCATATTCTGACAGAGTTTTTGTCATAAATACCCTTAAACTTCACGACTGTCGCCATCTGTGTCTGCCTCTGAATTAACAGTTGTCTTATTTGTTTCTTTCAAATGTTACGTAGTCTTACTTTAAAATAGATTTTAAAATACTGTAATCATCTTAATTGCCTGCCCTTATTTTTAAGGCTCCACTTTGGTCTAAAAATCATAAAATTAAATGTTTTCTCTCCTATTTCCTGTGCGTATGTATCAACTTAATATGAAAAATGTAACAGCTTTTAATCTAAATGATTCATCTCCCGAGTGTAAATAAAAGCCTGTGGGTTGAAAAAGGCTTTAAAATGTAGCATTTGTAAAGCTAAAAAAAAAACCAGTTTGAATCATTTGCTGAAAAGTGTGCTCTATTTAGCTTTCTATGATAAATATATACATATATAAATAAAACTTAACCTCTAACTTAACAAATAGAGAGCAGTCAGTCTGCTCTGATGGCTGTGGATGCTGGCTAGAAGCAGGAAGTGGCTGTGAGAACGATGCAGTGATTCAGTGTCTCCTTTTCACAGGCCTTTATCACACTTTCTTGTCTCCCACACACACACGCGCGCACACACACACACTACAGAAACCTTGAAGAGCAGATGGTTAGTGATTCATGATGACTAAAGGGCAGGAGTCATTCCGCTCTGTTATTCAGAACAGATTGATGCCACACAGTTCACTATTTACTGTTATCTCAGCTTTATGATTCGCAGTGCGAGGGTTTGGAGATTAGGTCAACTCCCATTAAGTGCATTCTGACAGACTCATTATAGATAATATATTGACTGTCTTGGGTGAATGCTCCTCTGTACTGTACATTCATTTTTACATTTTATGTTTATGGCATGTAGCTGATGTTTTTATGTGGAAAAATGTTCAGGCAGTGCTTTAGTTTCTTACTTCAGGGGACTGTAGAATGTATGATATTGTTGAAAATGTAATTAAACCAGTTCACAAAGGACACATAAATTCACCCAAATTAGGTAGTACAATCTTCAGATGCTATCAATTGATAATATTTATGTATATATAGCAACAAATTAACTTCTTTAATTTAACTTGCAGACTTTGCAGATTAATGGAATAAAATCAAGGTCAAGGTCACATTTATCCCAATAATGATAAATATAGCTGTCATTAGTACATAACATTTCCTATGTTTGTCTGCATTAATCACAGTGGGGATTCCTGAATCCCCAAAGGGGCCCCAAGATAAATAAATGGAAGTAGAAAATTACTTTTCTCTCTTAAGTTTTACTTTTTTCTCTCTTCTTTTAGCTCTTTTATAGCCTATACAAATCCTTCAAATTCAACAATATGAGAAGGAAAAATCAAGCCTTGTTTGAACTGATCATAACTCATACCCACACTTATAACATGAGCATGAACATAAGTCTGTCATGAGGGGTCACAAGCCAAACATGAATGACAGTATGACCAGTTAAAATGTGTGGTTAGACAACATGTGTGGCTATAACTGCAAGTTTAAGTTGGTAAGTTGTTCAATTTGAGGACATATACAGCCATACTTTTCAGTATGTGTGCTATTATTTTGATAGTCTGTCTTAAATTTAAGTCCTCACAGTCCTTTTAGCTCTGATTTGGTCTCTACCAACTCTTGAAGGCTCTTCAGCTGCTACATGTTCCACTGTGTCACCTTGTTAATACAAAAATATTGATTAGTGCTGCTTTAAATGTATTGTTCATCCCTCTCAGTTTATTCCAGATTTTTTCAGAAAACATGCTACTTTACATTTTCTGCCCACCTTCATTTTTGAAGACATGCCAGCTGTTTTTTTGTAGCCAAAAAACCACAAAAAAAAGTTTATTCAACATTTATGATGAGGGAGTTCCGAAGAAATTGCATTGCATACATCATCATTTTACAGAGAACTTCTTCAGAAGACTTCACAAAATTTTTCGAGGTTGGTAATAAACTTTGACATTTAGAAAAATAGGAATTAGGGCAGGGAAGTGTGTAAAACTGTGTGTGTGTGTGTGTGTGTGGAAGGACAAGGCTGTTTTTCCTCAAAGACCTTCAGCTATGTGGTTCAGGTTCAGATTCAGGAAGTGAAAATTTAGATGGCTGCTAGTGTGTGTGTGTGTGTGTGTGTGTGTGTGTGTGTGTGTGTGTGTGTGTGTGTGTGTGTGTGTGTGTGTGTGTGTGTGTGTGCGCGTGCGTGTGCGTGCAGAGGACACTCAGGGGATTCAGTGTGTGCGTGTGCGGTCTGATCGGTGCTGACGGGGAAATATGAGGTGCACGGGGGTGGCGGTGTTGGTGGGGAGGAGGGGGGGAGTGAGTGACACAAAAGGGAAGAGGAAAACGATGAGGAAATCAAACAGGATATAAAGTCTACACTTAAAAAATCTGACAATTTTTTCCATTTGAAAACATGAATGTTTGGCTCCAATTAAAAACACTACGTTCTCTGCAGTAAAGTGCTGAGGAGAAACCAATGCGGTTCGTCCACAAAAACTACTTATAAACAAGAGTGGGAGTGCTGAACCCACTGCTAGAAATACACACTGTTTGTATTGTAGCAGGGAATATTACAGAAAGGAGCAGCATATGAGAGAATGGAAGGAGTTTCATTTCTAAAAAAGAGATAAAAAATAAACAAGCGACAGTCTTACAACGTGACAGAGAGACCTATCTGAGCAAAAATCAGGAGCTTAACGTGAAAATCTTTCTAAATCACAAACCAGAACTTCTCGGTTATTGTCTGTGAGGTTATCAAGATGTGTGTGTGTGTGTGTGTGTGTGTGTGTGTATAACCCATGTCTGCTCCACTGACAATAAACAGCAGAGACTCAGGGGTGCTGGTTGGATCTTTTCCACGTTATTTCAGAGCTCAGCTTTGGCTGGGACAAACTCTTCTATTTCTGATTTTGTGAAACTAATTCAATTTGAGTCACTGAAGGGCGAAAAACATACCAAATCTATTCTATTATTCAACATTTTCAGCTATGCTAATTGTGCCTCCGTGGACAAAAATGCCTGTCTGTCAATTCGCCACTTTTCAGAAATAACTCGACAGCTATTTGGCAGCGGTTTGACATGAAATTTGGTACAGACGTTCTCGTTCTTCAGAGGATGGACCTACAGACTTTGGTGCTAGCCTTCATTTTGTTCTAACGCCATAATTTAGCATCAAGAGTTTGAATTTCCAATATTTTGGTTTATGAGCAAATGCTGGAAAAACCAGTAACGTTCCAATCAGCCTCAGCTCTACTTCATTAAGATGAAGAACATGGTAAACATTGTTAACATTGTCATTATTGGCAATTTAGCATGAGGATTAACATTACCTTTTAGCTCAAGGCACCACTGTGCTTAAGTACAGCCTCATAGAGACGGTAGCATGACTGTAGACTGCCCTGGTGAGTCAATTATTTGGGTAAATTCTTAATTTGCTATAGGCTTATATTAGGACTATATGATACTAATCTTAATTTTATACTAGGATTAGCACTTATAGGCCTATAAACAGTTTTCATGATGAACTATTAGCCACAGAATCAGAAAGTCCCAGACAATGTTTTGTTTTCCAATTAAAAATCAAGTTTTACTTTACACTATAGCTGTGGGCATATGAGGGCCTTTCCAATACTAATAAGGACCAGTGTGTAAGATTTTGTGGCATCTAGCAGTGTAGCTGCAGATTTCAACGCCCTCGCCTCACCCTCCCATTCCAAGCATGTAGGAGAAAATATTGTGGCCGCAAAACTCACAAAAAACGTGGGGAAAAAAGCCCAATCTAGAGCCAGTGTTTGGTTTGTCCATTCTGGGATAGTGTAAAAACATGGCGGATCAACATGGCGGATCAACATGGCGGCCTTGGTGGAAAAGGACCTGCTCTCTGTAGATATAAAAAGCTCATTCTAAGGTAAAAAAAACACAACAATATTTAAGTTCAGGTGATTATACACTAATAAAAACACATCTATGAATATTATATTCCATGTCTGCCAATAGATCCTCCTACATTTTACACACTGGACCTTTTAATAACTGACTCTCAATGGCAAATTTACAATTATCTAATGATTTACAGATGGCTTGGAAGTGATAGTTATTGTGTCGTCAAACAGATAACAGGCAGAAAAGAGAGACAAAGCTGTATTTAAAGCTCACAACTTGCAACTGCATTTAAACAATGAAGCCAATACTATACATAAAACTACCATACAATCAAATTTGACCTTAAAAGATTCACATCCATGTTATTTAAAATGTTCCCCTTTCTCTGCCAGCTCCTGACTTGAAAGGCACATGTGTTTAAAAGTATATACAAAGTATTCAAAGGAAATGTAGGTAATTTCACCCTCAGACATCATTGCATTGTAATCATAAAATCAGTATAAACAACAACAAAAAAGTTTGATTCATTAGATTTCACAAACACTCGCAGACGCTGAATTGTATAAAATATCACTGACAACTCATGTAGGCCGTTTATAGTGTCGAGAACTGACGCTTGCAGACGTGCTCTCAGCTTCTTGAGGCACCGGTGATATAAAAGTGGAAGGTGCATGCACAGCTTTACTGTCAGTCCCATAAAGAGAGTGTAAGCACATTTTATTACATGATACGAAAGGCTAAGATGAACATCCAAGTATTTTTTTATTTTTATATGAAGCCCTTTATCTACAGAACAGCTTCCATCACATCTGTTCTCTCGGCAGACATTCCTCGAGGCATTTCGGCCACTTTGGGTCTTGGTTTTAATCCAAAAGTCTGTGTTTCGCGTTCCAAAACAGCACCGCTGTCCAGAGAAAAAATTCCACAACAACCTCCACAAATGTCAGGTTTGTCTTTCAAATTAACGTCTTTGGGAAGAGGCTGTGCACGATGTGATACCCATGACTGCTTATGACTTTTACCGTGTAGACAAAAATCTCATCCATAGAAAAACAAGTGATATTTTGTTGTTCTCAGACAAGTTTGTGGAAAAAGATTCCAAGCTTCAGTTGACTTTAAAGATGCTGAAGATGTGAGGCGAGGCTGAAGGATTGCCCACGGTGTGGAGTCTGAAGGCTGGGCCTGTGATGGCCTGCAGCTCCGTGCCTCTGTCCAATCGCAGGAGGCCGGACACCTGGCAGGGCTTCAGGAAGTGGAAAGGGTGCGGCCCGGCGGAGGGGGTCGTCCCGTAACCCTCCATGCACTGCAGCTTCTGAGGCCTCTGGCCGCTGGTCACCACATCCAGCTTCACATACTGAGACTGCTGCTCATTGAACAAAACCTGAGGAGACACAGAAGATGATCTTCATCTCATCAAGGGAGGTCATCAGAGACAGAAGGTGAACTTGTTTGATCTCAACTATCCAAATGAAACCAAACCGGACTGTATCAAAACTTCCAAAGTCCTGCTATCGGAATTCTTTCTTTCTTTTTTTTGGCTAGATTTTCTCCAGACCTCCGTCAACTTGACAGGAGGCCTGGCTACATGAGATTACCCGTAACCTGATATCCACCTTTCCAAAAAACATGATACATACCAGTACAGTATGACTGATGTTTGAGCAAAATAAAGGCTGTTTTTTATAAAGCTGCAATAGGTCAGAAAACTGGTGTGGGGCTGCATCCCTAAACTCTGTTGATTCACTCTAGCTGTAAATATGAAATCAGAGGTTTCTTCCCCACTTTACTTTAGGAATAATAATAGCAAAATCTTTTATTACTATTTCAAAAATGTTTTGAATATTTGTAACAGAATTAAAACCATGTTACTTTTAAAATACACTTCAAAGATGCTTGTTTGAATTGCTAAATAACTGTGAATGTTAGTTACTGATAAAACAATCATGCGTCCTTCAATACATTCATCACATTGAGGAGAACATAATCCATTTTCCATGTGACAAAAGACATTCATTTCCAAGATAAATATATGACATTGTGAGATTTAAAGTGGCATTTTTTGGCCACTTGGGGGCAGCAGAACAAGCTCTAAACACAACACTGACATACTGTTGTCCTAGAAAGTTGTTGTCGCAAACAATATTAGCATTAATTTAGAGTGGTGTTTCCAGCCACCTGCTGAATATAAGTAATAAAGTTCAACATTCACTCTACTTTTAGCTCTGTTTTGGTCTCCACCAACTCCTTAGTGAAATATATGGCTTTTTATCTCCGCTGTGTTCATCAGTTAGTTGTTTACTGTGTTTGTTAGCTATTCTGAAGCTGAAAACCGCCACTACAAGCAGCTCCTTTAATATCACACATATTCATTTTATCTGTTGTTAATATGTAAATATTGATTAGTTCAGCTTTAAAGTGGAGATCTGACATTAATGTGGCGTGTGGGGAACATGAGGATGACGAGAGTTATGTTGGTGTCGTTTGTAGTCAAACACTGTCAAAAAACTACAACTCCCAGCAAAAACTCACCTGGCAGAACAGGAAGTAGACGCCTGCTTTCTCCACAGTGAAGGTGCCTTGTTCCTTGTTGTACCTCACTGCTTTACTCATATTCAACGTCCTCTCCTCCCAACCCTTTATCACTCCGCCCTCTCCCACTGACACACACACACACACACACACACACACACACACACACACACACAAACACCCACATATCCAAGATTAATCATCTCATAGACAAGAGTTTCACAGATTATCCTCCATCCTTCATTTTTATGACTCTTACCTTGCTGAGAGGAGACTTTGGTTACTGGTGGAAAGTAAAAGAGACATTGAAAGAGAAAGAAAAGGGAAAGTCAATTAAGATTTTATGAGTGCAATCGTATAGGGGTATATGATTGAAACCACTTCAGCAGATGCTACACGAGACGGCTATAAGGGATCTGCCAAGCCACTTACTCTCAAAATGAGACGCCGCTTTCTTTCCATTTCCATTCCTCCCTCGCACCGTCCCCCCTTCGGAAGGCAAGGAGAGACAGAATATGAGTTTGAATGGCAGAGAAAATACGTCTGTGGTTTTTTTGATAAAACAATCATTCCCATCTGTATCTGTCTAATAACATGGTGTGTTAATTTGCAGCCATTTAGATTCAACCTGGCTCGTTTTAACGCGGTTAGCAGATGGGCAAAGGATTTCCTTTCACGTGCTTCAATATATTTCCTCAAACTGTTATTTTCAGTCAGAAGTGTGTGCCTGTTTTTTTTTTTTTTTTTTCCTGTGGGGGCTAATCTTAGTGCCAGCTGGTCGCAGTCATCTAGAAAATACAGAATGCAGAGAAAGAAGAGGCAAGAATAGAGTTGAAGGGGGATAGAGAGCTGTGTGTGTGTGTTTGTCTTGTGGAGGGGGGCAGGAAAGGACAAGATAGACAGAGGCAAATTGAATGAGAAAGCATTAAATGTAGCCTGAGAGACAAATGCTAAGAACGCTAAATAAGAGAAATGAAGTGCCGGAAAAGGAGAGTCAAAAAGGTCCTTGGCTGCTCTGTGACCCAAAAGAGTCGATTAAGAGCAGAGTGAAGCAACAGCTAAGGGGCCTGTTCGGATAAATACAATAAATAAAACACAACACTAAAAGGCCAGAGCTCCAGAATGCCTGCTCTTGTTACTCTCTAAAGGTTTATTTAACTTTGCAATCTGGCCTGCGGGGAGCAATTTCCAACACAGATACAACTCCAATACTGTATATATGAACTGTGAAATACATGCTTTATGTTTCAAGACGGAGCAGCCAAACACCGGGCCTCCGCCATCATACAGGAATATTAAGTCCCTGCTAAAATAACTCACAGGTGGGTGACCCTGTAGACTTAGGATTTGCTATGGGCGGGCGTAAAGCCCTCAGGCTGGCAAGAGTTTCCTGACTTAAGCTGTCAGTCATCAGGAGAGAACATAACTGCAGTGTCCTGCTGAACCGCTGCACTGCGGTGGTCAACTTTCCACAAACTGGAAAAAGCTGTTTGTGCCTCTCTTTTTTTATTTCCATTGATAGCCATGAATGTCTGAACACTGTTTAATGCGTTTTGGAAGACAAAGTAAGATATCAGTTACACAAGAAAAAAAGCTCATATCTGCAGGATATCAATATAGATATTCTGGCGAGGCTCGCAGCTCTCTAAATGAATCCTTTTGTCAAATTTGGATATTCATCCGTCTGCTGAAATCCAGCATGAAATAGTCTGAGGGTTCATTCTCGGACAAAATGTGAACAATCAAGCAATCCCGTGATGGTGACGCAAGCAGAGGCTATAAATACTGCAATGATAGGTCATCAAATATCACCGCTTTCACAACAAATCATAGCTGTGTCAGTCGTGTGCTCAGGGGGGGAAAGAAAATCTCAATTTCATTGCCCAAAAGCGTGCAACAAGGCCTCACTCCCGCGCCAGCTGGTTTTCTGGGCTTCGAGGCCATTCTGGTCAGACCTGTAATTTCTGAAACAGTCATCCAGCTGCCTACTTTTTCCTGTGTCAACTTTTAGCAGCGGGTAGTGCCTGCAGCCCACTAGACCTGACCAAAGTGGCATGTGGGCCAAGACTGGCCAGCGTTTGTGTTAAATGTCCTTCCCGACAAAAAAAAAAAAAAAAAAAAAACCAACAGAGCACATTTGGTAAGTATTGTGTTTGTGGTGATTTGGGGGCGGCTAAAAAGCAGAAAACTTCTATATGTCGGTGGTGTTGAAGTCTAGAAAGTGCAGCTGTGGAAGATTTTTGATTTGCAATACCGTCTCTTTTCACTCTCTGCCCCACAAGCAGCTCTCTCTTCTCCAGAATGAGCTGAACAATGGCCTTCCTCTGTGTATTGACCTGTTGAAAGAGAGAGAGACAAAAAAAAAAATGCACGATTAACAAATGCCCAATAAGTTTATTATGACTTTTTGCTGGCACTGATCCCACACAGCCACAGACGACCTCTTCCAGCCAGCCAGCCACATAAACAGGCTCGTCTTTTCCAGTATCCTGCCACTGCTGCCATGCTAGCTTTAGAATGGGTCTACCACTTCCTCAGAGACTGGTTGCGACACCTAATGCATGTTTTTAGTGCTTTGCATTCCTCACATGTCTTTACTCTATTTTTGAGAAAGAAATGAATTTTGTCAAGCCAGCAAAGTTTTAAATCCTTGGCTGGGGGCCCGCTGAATGACCGAAGGAGGCCTATATGAAGTAAGAGGAGAAGTGGCTGCAGTGTGTTTAAATTTACTGCTACTGTGGAAATGGAGGCAGCGAGTTGCTCTTCACTCTCCAGACGTTCACTCACTGGCTCTCATCAGGAGTTGGCCAACGGTCAAATGGACAGAACGGGGCCCCTTGGGAAAGGCTCCAGCATCAACACTCCACGTGTCCAATTTTGGGGTGTTTGTGCATATGTGTGTGTGTGTGTCTGAGTGAGAAACTGTGTGTGTGTGCAGGTCTGTCAACATAATACACAGCCAACCTGTCCCTGATCTCAAATCCAGTGCAACCTGGTTTTGTAAATACTGTGAACTTGAAACCAGAAGAATTTCCATCAGCTCCTTTTGGCTGCTTTTTAGAGAAATTATTTGCCTTGTGATGCAACCTCATGCCGGAGTCATGACTGCAAATGCAAAAAGTCTAAATCTGCACTTTGCAAGAGATTATACAGTATTCATGACTGTTCTTTGCACATTTAACTCCCAGCTGAAAGGATCCGACCTGACCTGTGCATGAGAAGTGGCTATGCATGCTGCAAATAATGTACACTTGCCACACTTTATCATCCAGCCTGTTTCATGCCTCAAGCCTCTGCGCAGTGAAGTTCTCACATGCCAAATAGCTGAGGCTTTCCAGTAATTTGAGATAAAACTGGAGCACAACTGGCACCAGAGTAATTAAACATGGCGGGGGGAGCTGGCGGGGGGGGGTTGGACTTGACTGCACTTATTGGTAAGCAATAAAAGTGCCAAGCGGAGAAATGGTGCAAGAGAATAGAGTACGTGCAGGGGGGGGTGAATTGTGGAATTGCATTTTTCCATATACCCCCCGCGAAGATTCCCAGTAACCGCAGCCACAAAAGAAGTTACATAACAAACACTTAAAGGTCTGTAATAGTTGCAGGCGAGTAAATATTATTGTTGGTACAAATATGCATGCTATTCGCAGAAGCAGGCTTTGATTGGGGGTTTTTGAAGTATGATACAAACCTGCTCCAGTCGGTCCTGCAGGATCTTAAAGGATTGAGACAGGTCCCGCGTCTGACGCCAAGTCCACGCCGTGAACAGCGCGCTGCATGCGGCCAGAGACAGAGCCACCAGGGCCAGAGAAGCCCAGAAGACCCGCAGCTTGCGCACTCGCCTCCTCTGCAGAATCCGATGCATATTGGTGCAGACTGCACTGCTACTCACCGCCACAGACCATCCGAAACCCCCCGCTTCAACTCCATTCCAGCAGAGCATAAAGTCCCTCCAAATGCATTTGTGTCCAAATGTCCATTTTGGTGAGAAAAGACGCGCGAGTGGACAACCAACAACAACTACAACACCCTTTGCTTTTCAGACGCGCGGACCTTTCTGTTTAATATTATCTGACAGATGAGATTTTTAAAGCAACAAAACATCCGATCCTTCCTCCACACATATCAAAGCCACCATCCTCCGTGTGTGCGGGCCGTCTCCAAATACGAGAAAACTGTGCAACTTGCGCACATCAACTGTTGCATCCTTCTCCTTGTGATTCGTTGACTCAGCTCTCTTGTCTTCCCTTTAAACAGCGTGCTGGGGGGTCACTCTATTAGACAGACAGACTGAGCACACACCAGAGCTTGAGTTCACACACACACACACACACACACACACACACACACCACACACACACGCACAGACGCGTGCGCGCACAGACTTGGAGGTGCGTCCTCAGCGAGCTCTGATGTTGTGACACCAGTGCGCATCCGCAGTAAAAAAAAAATCCACGAAATGCATCACAAGAAAGAACCGGGGCTTCCTCCGCTTCTCAAGTCACTTTCATCAACTTGCATGACTTGAAAATATGTGCCATTCACGCGTGTAAGAGTTCCGTTTGTGACCACACGGTGGCTGTAGAGTACAGGTGGAGACACAGCAGCGGGTTACGTGCGTACTGTGTATATACAGAGTGTGCCGTCAACAGGTGAGCCAAAGACTGATCCCAATGGTCAATTTCTTAATCTAAAATACAGTTCTCCAATGATACATTATCAACAAATTAATCATTTAACCCTACAAAATATAGCGTTTGTAAGATAATCTAAGTTTTGTAATGTTTTTATTGCTTTTGGAGCCAAATAAAATTAATTTAAAAGTCATACTAGGAGTTCAAAGTGGAAAATCTTGTGGCCTGAAGGTCATGTGAAGTCTCTAAAACAGTAGTTTCCCAGCCTCTTTTGCTTGTAACCCCTTTGTGAAGGGCATGTCACTGAGTTGTGAACAGTTCCAGTGAATTTCCCTTCTCAGATGGTTTCATTTGAATACTTTTTAAAGGCCCGATTAGGTAAAAGATCTAAGAATCAAACATAATTTACTTTCTGTACAGATTTCTTTAATAGTAATAGTTATACATAGTCATTAGTACAGTCATTTCTTTCTCCTTTTGTTCATATAGAACACATACTGTATGTTTGTTTTACTTTATTTTATGTATGTATCTTTGATTTTACAATATATAAATAGCACAAAGTGAATATAGTGTATCTTATTTTATTTTCAGACTTTATTGGGATTTAAGGGACAGGTGATGTTAGTAGGAACCCTAAAGGTTAAATGCATACTGGCTATAATTTCAACCATTTCAAGCATTATTTATTTAAGCTCATACTATATGTTTTCAATTTGCATAGTTGGTTTTCCACATGAATAATTTTAGATTTACATTTTAATTACGAAATTATTATTACTACTTTACATGGATACACTCACTCACAGAAGAGAACTAAGATGTGGATACAGTTACACATTCACAGAAGACATCACTATTTAAATGCAGTCTGATGGGTTTTATTCCACAAACACAGCAGTCAAACAGGTAGTCGAGTAGTAACAGTAAAACACACTCTGGGTTTTCAAGGATGGGTGACAACAGGAAGCCTAAAATACTTTTATGAAACCAGTATTTGACTCTCATGCAGGTTCTGGGCTAAAAGGTGACATGGCTTTGGACATTTTCTAATGTATCAGGATTTCTAGCACAGCAAAATGACACTAAACTGTGGAAGGTGTTATGTCGTGGTCACATAATCCAGCATTTCCCTGGTCATGTTAAAAACCTATAAATCCATTTTTGGTGGTTTTCATGTTTCGTTTAAGGAATGTATTGCTCCTTTCTGGGTTGAGGGGATTTAATTGATCTTATGAAGCCCTTTAAAAACTCACTGGATTAACTCTAAAATGCATGGCATTTCCGAATAGTTGACTTTTTGGATTCATAAGGTTTCAATGACCACTTTTATTTTCAACCATTTCAGAGCAAAATCAGACATGTGAACACATACAAACTTGTGCCTCTGCTGGCGGAAAACATCAATGACCGCACAAACTCCATATTGAACACACTGGGTATATCTTAACCATGTGACTGGTGCACTAGGGGAATACACTTAGGCCCTTCCTGGCAACTAAACCGCCCCAAAGTTGTGAAAATAAACTCAGTTCATCTCCATGGTTGTCTTTTCTACTCATACTGATACACTGTGTACTAATCACATACACACCCTGCTCACTACAGACTGAATTAACATTTCAAACATTTAACTGCAGTGTTTCCTCGTCTCTTGCATGAAAAAAAAATGCTCCTAAAAGTCTGATTTATTACAAAGATGTGACAGAAATCAGAGTTGAACTTTGATTTGATTTTGAAACAGTTTGAGGAATCCATGCTGGGAACAAGTATAATTTATAGCTCTGGCTCTGGCATTCGGATGGGAAGTTGAAGGTTATAAATATCTCTTCACCCTTGGACTCTATATTGATTTTTGGGGCTCATGTGCTCTGTAATAGCAATAACAGCATATTGAATGTACTTTTCCACACAAATGAAGTCTGTAGATTTTGCACGTCGAAGCATACATGAATATTTCATTAACCAATGTCCCACAGATAAAAAAAAAACTACACATTCTTCACTCAATTATTTTGTAAACAAAGTATGAAAAGAAATGCATATTGCAAAAGCTACAAAGGAGGGTCAATGGTTCTTACTTGTTTAGAGTGGGAGAAAACAAACTAAATATAACCCACAACTCAGGCTGTTTTCATTAAATTGCTGGACAAGATACAAAAAGCTCCCTTTAAAAAAAGAAAAGAAAAAAAAGAGTAGAACTGGATATGAAACTGTGGCCCAGACCAGAATTATGCCCCTTTCGTTTTAGCAGGACAGGTTCAAATACAGTACCTGAGCCCAGTCCAAGACTTTTATTTTTCAAATTCACCAGATGGATTGTTTTTGTCTGATTCTAGGCTTCATGCATTTTCGTTTTAAACCAGCCCCGAGGGTTGGTTGTTTGGCTGTATGGAAGTTGGTTTATATTTAATCCAAGTTATTCCTTTACTTCACAATTTCATCACAACAACTTTGTACATTCATACAGAAGCTTAAACCGAGGAAAAACAGTGCAAATACCAACATTGTGCTTCACAACAGCTTTACAGTACTCCTCATCTGGAAGACGAGGGGAGAGGTGACTGACTCTTTGGTTGCTGTTGTCATAGTTTATCACAGATTTAAAGGGATAAGATACCAAAAACTCGCTCTTTCTTCAACAGTCGTACAATGAAACATCTTGGCTTTTGAAATGCATAAAGTATTTCTGTGCAAAAAAATGGCTTCATTTCTAGATGATGATTACTGTATGCTAAGACTTTCTCTAAAAATCCCACAACAGCACACACATGCACACTCCTCTTAGTCCTTTCTCATGCCCCATATATTCTAAATTTGTTCACACTCTAAGCAAAGAGGTTAGGTTATCTGATCCATTTAACACCGAAATCAAAAGGTGCTCTGGGTCATTAACATATTACAAGGGAAACACACAATACACAGATTTCAGTGCCTCGGTTATGTACTATTTAAATGTATTGCATCGGCCCCATTCCAATACTTAAAACTGCATCCTCGACCCTAAATAATATGCCAACTGACTGTTTGTTAAACCCCATTTTCGAACCATAACAAGGCACAGCAGGTAGATGTTGAAGTGGTGTGCGTGGAGCTATAGTATGAAGATATTTTTTTATATTGGTTTTGGGGTTTTTTTTTTTAAAAAAAAAAAGGAAAATGGTTAAGTGTTTTTTAAATTTTTTTTTTTTTTTAAAAAAAATTTTAAAATTTTTATTTTTTTTTAATTTTTTAAAAAAAAAAAATAATTAATTTTTTTTTAAAAAAAAAAAAATTTTTTTTTTGGTTTTTGGTTTGGGTTGGTGGTGGTGTGGGTTTAAAAATTGGTTTGGGGAAGGTTTTTACCCCAGCAACTCAAGCCAATTCACTATACAAGACAGCTTTGTGTTTGTTAAACACCTCAGTGTTAGTCCACTATCTAAAAACCTTTTCACTTGTAAAACTTAGAAAATGCAAACAGTAAAACATTTATGCTAATCTAGAGTGAGCATCAAAACAGGTTTGTATAAGAACAATTAAAATTTTAATTGCATTTTTATCTGTAATACTATTCTATAACATGGCTTACTATCTCTTAACTGAAAGACAAATATGGCTCTTTATTTCCATGTCTTCTACATAGATCATCAAGGATGCTGTGCTGTTTTTGCCTGGAACAAGTAGTTTTAGCTTCAGTCTCTTAGTATGAAATCATATATGAACCATTGTATTTTACATGGTTTTCATTTTCAGTGTTGATGAGTTAACACTAGTAAACTCCAGCGAATAAAATCTGCCTTTTTTTCAACCGACAAAAAAAGCTTGTACATGAGAAGCCTGCTTTTGTTTACCTCTATGTGAAACTAAAGTCTGATTTTTTTATTTATTTCAGGTGGTAAATCTGCCACTGTTATCACTGCAAACAGCATAAGTGCTGCGCTAGCAGGGAAAACTAAACTAACTAGGGAGGCGGGGCTTAACAAACTGTCAGTTATTTTAATGATCTGCTTTTCGAGAAATCGGCTTCATGATTGTCATTGTCAAGTTTTGGAACGGGGCCACTGAGTGGTGCTCTATCCCTGCACTGTATGGGTTGACCTCATGGTTGCAAAGGTCATGCTGTCACGTGTAGGGTTAGGGTTGGGCCAGGTGCTCCAGTGCCTCTCCCTCGCAGCGCATACAGTGGTAGCCCATGTTAGCCGTAATATCGAAGCAGCCCTGGCTGTGATAAAAGTCCATTGATGATTTGTTCCAGTCCAGGACGGTGAAGTTGAGCTGGTTGCAGCCGGCAGCCAGACCCAGCTACAGGGCAGCAATATGAAGCATAAAGACAGACATGAGTACTGCTGTGCTGACATAAGTTATGGAAATTGTAAGGTATGCAAGCTCCAAGACATATTATACATTATTTTAATTTTTTTTCACTAGCAAAACAAATACAGTATATCTTTGTAGAAAGAGAGAAAAGGCCAGAGGTTTCTTAACTGTTAAGTAATGGGTTGATGTTTTACTCACCTGTGCTACCTTGCTCATAAGTGCTTTACCAATCCCCTTCCCTGAAAGACAGACACCACGTGTTACTTAAGATTTCCAGCACATACAGTACAGACATGCTTTCTTCACATTGTGGCTGATTTCTTTCCAGGCTATTTTCACAAATTATATTTTGTCCATAGCAACACGTACATTTCTGAGACAGTGTACTGTACCTCTGAACTCAGGCATCACGTACAAGTCCTCCATATAAATGGCTCTGCCCATCCATGAGCTGTAGGAATAGAAGTAAAGTGCATAGCCTATCTTCGTATGGCCTGAAAGCAAAAAGATAAAAGTGTGAGAAATCAGTGCACCAGATGATGTTTGCATTACTTTCTGTGTCGTTGTTTGCACTATATCATGGTATTTGACATGGGATTGGATTTCTCTGGAAGCATGGATACCACATTAAGCCAGAAATTCAGCTTAGCTCCCAGCCATTAGCGCAACAATGCTGTTTAGCTCCCGGCCATTATTCATACTCTTTCATAAAAAAGTCTGAATTCTTGTTGACCCCTACCCACCCCCAGGTCAATGTGTAATTCTCTGTGTATTCGTCATCAGCAGCTACTAATATTACATTACATGTTGTCATTTGACCCATTGTTGATACAAAGATATTGACGTGCAGCTTTAAAAAGGTATTTGGAACATATGCTGTGCTGCAGAAGGAATTCAGTTCATTCTTGTTGTTCGTCTTGCTATAACTTGTTCATTGCTGCTATCAGCTAGATTTCAGGATGGTAACCACAAGCTGGCATCACAGATTCTTCATTTCTTCATCAGTTCTGTGTGGTTATTAGGCTAATTATAGGTGCCACGGTAATCAGTATGCTGTCAGGCAAATATACGTTGGTGGAAAAGCTGTTTGGCTATAAGTGTGCTCGGTTATCAGAGTCATAGGATATCCAGGGCTAGTCATTTAAAACACAAAGACATAGGCAGCCACTCCTCAGTATGGAGTCAGATATCTGAGGCCAGTGGAGAGTGGACAGTGGTGACTGTATGGAAAAAGGGCTGTGTCATGGAAGAAAAAGGCCCAGCTGGGCAGCAGAGCGTATGTTAATGTTCTCATTACTATATTCTAAGGAAAAACAGTGTGTTATCCTTGTTATGTAAGGTAAGGAGAGAGGACACATCAGCAGGATGCCATTACATTAGGTAACAGAGCTAATAAATATGGGCTGATGAACCTGGTGACTGATGACGAAGTGTAAAATGCAGCTGCTCTGAGGGATGTGTTGCATCATTGCCCATAAACCGTTATAATATGGAAACACTGGGAATCAATCAACATTTCTTTAATTTCTTACACCTGTGCTTAGTCTAACTCAGCATCTCAAGAATAGTAGATACGCAAATTAGCTTAAAGATGCTCTAATTAATATATGCATAGTGAGAACTGATCAAATGACTGCATGTACTGTGAAACAGCCCACTCATAGTGACAAACCCACAGAGGCTGACTCTCAACTCTCAGTGCATCTTTCATAAGCCACTGTACACTACCTGTTCTGCACCAAACAGCAAAGAAAAATAGCAACAATTGGTGGAAACAGGGGAACATTTATCTGCTAAAGAACCAGATATTTCCCTCAGTAATTGGTGGAGACCAAAAACAGAGCTAAAAGAGAGTTTACACTGAGAAAACAGGTTTAAATTCAGTATAGTGCAGGCCTAGAAGAAGGACATGAAGAAAGACCCCTTCACATAGATAAATATGTAACAGCAAGAAATTTGTGAGTGTGTGACTTTTTGCCTCACAGTGAAAAACACTTCAAAAGCTGTCCAGTCTAGTCATGTTTTGATGTTTAAGGGAGTGCTGAAACAAGATCTTCCAGCAACCTTTGTATTGCCCTAAGTGCCACTACTGAGCAAATTGCTCCTTTAAGAACTACTAGTACATTACATCTGTCTCTCCTCTTGATTTCATAATAACAAACTAATCTCCAAGTAGTAAGTCCACAATCCACATTTATCCTTGTGAGCTAGGCCTTCTATTAAGCCAGTGTTCGGGTTAGGAACAAGACAAGATATTAGTATTTCCATCTGGAAAACAGTTTGAAAGAATAATTTTAGATCTATGGTTTAACTACATGTGGCACTTTAAGCATTGGCTAAAGGCCTTTTAATTTAAAATGTTATATTTGATTACAGAAACTGAAAGGTTAATCAGCTGAATTGCACAGTAGAGAAAAAATGCTGTTGCACTGCAATTTATTTCCGGGCTGACACGTTGAAGAGATTGTCATACTACTGGTACACAGTCCAAACAGTGAGGTCACAACACGTGTTTTACTTACACACATAGGTAGTAAAACTGCCTGTTGTTACATCACTAACCAGAGAGGCCTGAATGACAACATGCTTGATAAAGTATCACAGGAGCTGATTTCTATCTTCTAATGTGGTTTTAAGACAGAGATTCTTGGTCTTGAGAGGATCTTGGTAGTTTTTATGAAAAATACAAATGCGTACAACTCTATCACTCACACATACACACGACTGCCTGCTAGTTTCACACTTGGAAGTGAAATAAACAGTGTTAATGACGGTTTCTCACCTTCTTTGGTTTTGTGCTGTTCTGGCACCTCAGCGATGATCCCGTGGAAGAACGGGTTCTTGGAGAAGCCGTCCTGCTCCAAATCTGCACATAAAATACAAACACGCTGTTAAGTTACAGTTACTGTTAGGTGGAATGATCCCTTCCAGGTAATTATATTATTGTAATACTATTACTGATGCACATTTTAACCACTTTATATACTGTTGAATGGCTAAATATATTGATGATGTGTTTTTTTTCAAAATTCTAAATACAATATTTCCTTCTGAAATATGGTGGACAACAAGAAGTCCATGAGATTGTGTTATATAATCAAAAGCTCCATTACAGCTACTTAATGGGCCTTGTTATGAGACTGTATACTTCTTCCAAGTCAAGAATAAACCCTCTGTCTCTCTAGGAATATTGCATCATTATATCAGTTGGATTTCATCTTATTTTTCATGAAGGTCAAACACAAAACGTGGTCAAGGCACAGAACTGCACACTTAATAAATGTATTTAATATACTTAATACAGTACCTCTCTGTGTGATTTTCACATGGTCTGCAATTTTCTCATATTCAGCCAATTCCTGTGAACACATTAAAATAACATCAGTTTGCATTAACTGTCCACATCACAACTGCAACATCACAATCCCTTAACCTTAAAATGTCAGTTGTTATCACTCTATTAGCCTGTGACCCCTGTGGCACTGCTGGCAGCTGCGCACACATGTGCGCTCCAATAAAACGGCAGTAAATCCAATAATATCTCCATGATAATAAAAGCAGCATCATGTACATTAAGTGCTGACGTAACCCTGTGAGTCATAGGCTGCTGTGTCTTTCCCAGTTATATACAGCTGCACTTGCACGCGCGCACATGTCGTCTCACCACAATCATGCGCGCGATGTCCTTGCAGTCCTCCACGTTGGCCGCGCGGATCGAGTACTCCATTGTCGTGGTGGGTCTGATGGTGTGATGCTCACAGTGTGGCGGTTCTCCGGTGGGATCTGGACGGATGTAACGTGAAGGAAACAGGACTGGGAGGACTGCAGCTGTACCGGCAGACTCAACCTCACCAAATCAGACTGAGAAATGAGCTGAGAGCGCCCTCCTGCAGGCAGGAGGTGACCATGGGTGGACTACTGTATGTGCATTAAAGGGGACCTATTATGCTAATTTACAGTTCTACATTTTTATTGTGGGACAACCCTAAATTAGCCTTACATGAGCCACAGTCTAAAATAAATCCTTATTTAACTTATAATGGTCGTTTTGCAGCTCGGTGGATCATCTTCTGTCTGAAACAAGCTTTTTTTTAGCTCCTGTCTCTTTAAGGCCCCCCCTTCTCTCAAAGCTTACTTTCTTCTAATTGGCCAACTTCAGGAAACATGCTGAGGGGCAGCACCCAGTGAACACTGCTTCTTCCTCTTGCTGGTGTGCTCTAATGGCATATGACAGCAGTAAGAGGAAAATAGCAATATGAGATGTTGAATTTGATGAATTATCTTTATCAGACCACAGACGAGATAAGAATTAGGTTGTTAAAAACAATGGATGCCGCCAAAGCGTTGTGTTTCTGGTAGGCTCTATATTCAGTCTATGCAAGAGACCTACGCTCTTGTGAGCATTTATATGTGTGCAGGCGTTGCTCTGCCAATAACACCGCCTAAACGCTGGTTGGTGGTGGAGATTTTATGCCACTGTGTGACACCCAGAAGTCAAATCTGGGCTACTGTATAAAACATGTCGGACTCCATAGAGTTTAGATATAAACGTCTCATTCTGAGGTAACAAACACATAGTAATTCTTATTATAATAATATTATATTCTATTTCTGCCGATAGATCCTCCTGAATCTTACACACTGGACCTTAATTGATCTTTAAAGCATTAGTTACTAGAGTAAAATATAACTTATTATATTATATTATTATATAATTAATTAAGTAACTAATTTATTTTTTGGGTTGTTTTAGATATTCTATCATGTTGTGGCTTGTTTTTTTTTTTTCTGTGAAGAGAGCCAGGGATGAATTCATTCATGTGCTCTTTTTCTAGTGGAAAAATCCACTAATTTGAAATTTGGCTGAACCAGATAATCCCTGACACAAGACCTTATGCCTTAGGTACAGTTATGTTTAGGGTTTTTTTTTTAACTATTTGTCCTACAAACTAATGAATACTCTAATGGTCTAAAGATAGTGCCTAGAGGATGACTTTAAATACTGTTGGCCAGAAATGAACTGACGTGTTGGGCCACTTTCCGATCAAAGTTCCCCCTGCTGTTGACCCTTGATCTTTCACCCAGGACTGCCATTTGGGGACATTTTCTTATTTGTATATATCTAATAGACGGATCCCCATGACATTCAGTGAGCACATTTATACTCCCCACTGGATTAACCTTTTCCATTTGAAACACTCCATGTGCTTATTTCCAGTGCCACCCTCAGGCTCAAATGTTTTACTTTGCACACAAAATAAGTAGACTAATAAATTTTTTGAATTAGCTGAGACTACTCACACCAACCCTTTGATTTATTAAACTCCTTTTAATTTTTTTTCCCCTTTTCTTTAGGATAATCTTTTCCCAAATAAGAAGAGCAAAATCATTCTATTTTCTTTCTTCCATCTGCTCCATCCAAGTTTTTTGTGGGCATGTAATAAACATTGCAGCCTCTAGGGGGCCCTAGCAAGGTGCAGTTCAAGTAAAAGCTCTGTGGGATCAGCAGCCAAAATATTGCACATCCTCCACTGCCAAGGCATAAATACTTTGTTCTCATTAGTCCAACTTTTAAGTGGAGCTGCTAAAGATTTAAACAGCTACACCATTTAGCATAATTTCAAACTGCACACAGACATATAATGGACAGTTTTAAACTAAAATGTAGGCAAAAAGTATCTATTTAACACTGAGTTTGAGTTATTACTTCTAAAGACAAGCTGAAGATGAATTTTTATTCATAATGAAGCTAACACACACTGTCCTCTGTGTGGGTTATTGTGTGTGGGTGGAGGCCTGTTTCCTCTTACTCTTCTTCCAAAAATCACCAACACTAAATAAAGCAGAATTTCACAGAAGGTGTCAGACCTGGGGAGGTTATATTTAGTTAAAACTGCCTGTGATGACGCACAGTGTGGACATGTCATCAGACTGTGAACTTCAGCGCCAGAAATAAGAATGATCTCATGAATTTACAGTGTTTCACACAGGGATAACGGCAAGTCACCAGCACCCAGAGCGCTAAGTTTAAGGAACTGAGAATGGCTTTGAGAGAAGTAATGCACCGCAAACGTAATGATCACATGAATGAATGAAGTAATGAAAATTACATTTTTCTAGTTAGAGTTGGTATGACTTTCCTCGTGTTAAATTAATTTCCCCAAATCAACAGGCAAGTTTGTCAGATTGAAAAATGACATTTTCTCATAAAAAGAGGGGCTGTGCAATCAAAATTCCTCATTCATGACCTCATTCTCTGATACCAGCTGCTAAATGGTGAGCTTAAGCAGGCATGTCAGTAAACTTATACCCCACCCACCACCTTAAGGGCAAAGGTAACACTCCCAAGCCCCTCCCAGTGTCATTTTACATACAGTCATTCTCAGTGCCGTTTGTCTGTTTCACCACAACACTGATGGAGAAAGCACGAGTATAAACACCATATGAGGACAATGATGTTTGACATATGATCAATGATCAGTCTTGTGACACTCATAGTTAGGCAGCCAGCCAAACAAATACAGAAAATGAAAAAATAAATAAATAAAATAAATTAAAATAGAACAAAATTAGTACTAGAATAGTACTAATAAGTTGATATGCAACAAAGGTTCCCAGCTGGTATTGAACTGGGGATGTTATTAGATAAAATGCATCTTACACCACAAAGCCAGTGAAACAGCCTAAAAAATATCAGTCTTTTAACTCTTAACTCTTTTAACAGTGTTTTTGAGACCCATATTGTGAAGCTGAGGCAGTGACGCACGTCCTCAAGCCAAACCTTTGTGCTTACGCAAAAACAAAAGCCTTCAGGATTTGCATTTTCCATTCGCAGTGTTTCCATAGAATACAAAGCAAATATATGATCTACAACAGCGTTTATGGACTACTTCATGACGTATTTTCATCGCTGTATCTCTTCACAGAGCCAAGCACCGCAAGTTAATCTTTGAATGAACGTCTGGTTAAAGAATAGTGTAATGATTCTAAGTGAAACCAGATGACACAAAAAAAAGCTGGTTTAGTTATGTGTGAAGTCTGGTTTAAACTAATAACTGATGAAAGATTCAGCAGTCAAATGTCTGGGAGGAGGTTACTGGCAATCCCCACATGAAGTATTTAAAGTGTACTTCTACAAGTTTAGTGTTTAGAATTTTCAACAACATACTTATAACTATGTGTACCTCACTGCCTTTGCTTATTTATATGTTGATTCTATACACACAGTGTAATTAGACCAATGTGGTTGCTCGGAGTTAAAAATACATTTATGAGAGATTTGTCACAGTACATGGCATTCTGCAGACTGGAGGGTGGGGAGGAAATGAGCAGAGAAAGGGGGATTTTAGCCAGCTCTCTCCTGAAAAAAATAACACTGCCTGTGTGTCTATTAATAGCCCCAGCAAGACGGTGTGGCTCTTTAAGGCTGACTAATGGCTCCTTTCATACGACGCAAGCAGAAAAACCAGAGCATTGCCACCGTTTTCATCAGCAGGCGCTGCTGATGACGTGCGTTAGACACCCCTAACGGTTTTCACAGACGCACTTGAGGACTCACAGGCAGCTAGAAGCAGAAACATTGTAGACAATATTAGTCAGTATTGTGAGTAAGACAGAGTGGGGCCACTCACTGGGATATGAATGTCTGACAAATACTACAAAAACCCTGAGAAAATGATGGTTGGTGATTTTGGTGTCCATACGTATTTAGAGATTGGTTTTTGATGCAGAAGTAGTATTTTAACAGAAATGAGATTATCCTGTGGTCTGTGGGGTACTGTTGTTACTGGAAACAGTATGTGAGTCTCCTGAACGAGGGTGCCTGATGGTGAAAGACCGGAAACACCTCATGACCCCAAGTTACATCACTGATGATTTACCCAATTGTATTACATATATCTCAAAATCATAAAAAAAAAAAACATTTTAAGGGGGGGTCTCCTGAAGTCTTGTAGTTGAATGTTCTTGATGAAGACTTTTTAAAAACACATCTTAACTTCTTCAGGATGCAGTCTGAAACGGTATATGATATGGTGACATCATATATCTGACAAATATGTACTGTAGTATGGTATTCCACTCGCCATAATTGGCATCATTTATTTATGTAGATTTGCTGGCTCGAAGGTGCCCTCTCTCAGAAGCAGTGAGATACATGGATAAATGCCACTGGCAGTTCACAAGGTGTGCCCGAGGTGTTTCCAAGTGCAGCGGTGTGTGCAAATATTGTTTATTAATGCCAATTAATGTGCTAAACTGTTCAAATAATGGCATAATGCTGGTATAATGGTAGTGTGCTGTGTGTGAGCTGCCTGTAGCGAGCCAACTGTATTACTGACCGGTACATATTCTGCTCCTGTTCAGATAATAAATGGCAACATAAAAAAGACAAAAGCACCTCCTTTCATCATTCTCCACACAACGCAGAGTCGAACGGTAACTCGGACCAGACAGTTACAGTGAAGTGTAACTGAGTGTGGTTACACTAGCATAGTTCTCAAGTAACCAAAAGTTGTGCCAAGTTATTTATTCTACCCTAACTAATACTGAGAGGTAAGGAATTTTTACATCAAAAAAATTAGCATCATAACACACCATTTTTCCAGAGCTGATAGTCGTGTTTTCCTCTCATCTCTGTTGAGAGTTACACATGCACAGCACTGATTGGGCAAGAGGTGCGGCTTGGGTCCTGACAAGAGGTGCTAATTGTTGGATTTTGTTATCTTCAGCGAGTTTCCCCTTGTTTTCAGTCTCTATGTTATGCTAAGCTAACTGGTTTCTGCCTGTAGATGTCCACACAGACAGGAGAGTGGTATTAATTTTCTTATGTAACGCTTGGAAACGTCTAACTATTCCTCTATTATTGCAGTGGAGGTGA